CTATTGGTGAGTCAAGAGAAATAGAGTGGCGGGTTTGAGAGGTTTAGGGTGAGTTGGCTTTAATTCATTAATTAGGGGGTTTAGGTGTCCTAATTAATTGGTTATAGTAACTAAACACCCTAAATAATCTATTTCAAGTAACTAAACATATTTCTTTCCATTAAATTTCAAAAATCCCTCTCCCTAAACTCCAACTTTTCTTCCCCCAAAATATTCCAGCGGTGATTCTTCAAGACCATTCTATACTAAAATGGCCATAACTCTTTATGTATAGATCTAAAAATTACAAAATGTTACAGAGAGTTAGTAGACACATAGATGAATAACTTTTATTCTTTACTTTTTATCCAAAAATTACTCTAAAGTCCTCGAATAAATCACACAAAATTCGGATAGAATATAGTCTTCAAAATACTGATTGTGCATATTTAATTTCTTTAATAATTAAACCATTAATCTCAAGCACAATAAATTTAATTCGACATAAATCACACATTTCAAGCATTAATTTCTCATGATGTAATGAGAATTATACTTACTCTTAATATATGCATATATATAAATATTCGAATACGTGTCGCTTTACGGTTAAGTATTTTCATGGGGGTTACATTTTACCTTGATAAATGTCTTTTATAATGGGGAAACATGCATAAATAATTCACTAAATTGAATAAAATTACAAACTTAAAACCCAAGTGAAAATCACTACAAAAAAAATCAAGCTTTTAAACCTAAAATCTCTATCATTATTTTCATTTAGCGGCGAAATGGTGATGAAACGAAACCATTGATAAAATGCTTATTGCTGATAATTTTAACGACGGATTATACATTCCGTTAGCACTCAATTTTTTTGAATTTGAATTTTTTAAAATACTAAAAAATGATAAAACAAAACAAAATGTCAAGTATGTAAAAATAAAAAATATATAAAAAATCAAATCAAATCAATTGAAACAATTAGCTTAAATTAATTCTAGAAAAGGGGCTAATTAAAAAAAAAATAGAAAGAAAATATATAAAAAAAGACAATTGATGGCCCAATTAAAAAAATTCAAAACTTCAATCTCTTATTTAAATTAAAGAGGAACACAATTAGAACAAATTAAAAAGAAAAGTCTCAATTAATTGAAATTTAAGGGTCTTGTCAAAACAAAAATCAAAATCAAACTTAAATTGATAGATTGTGAAGAATCAAGGACCAAATCAAACTTTTGCCAAAAAAAAAAACCTAGAAAATACCTATAAAAGCCTTTGCATTTTTTTGCGTATAAGAGCTATTCGTTCACCATTTTTTTCGAAGGCAGCTGACTCTCTCCCTTTATTGAACCAAAAAACCTCCATCTTGCAAACTCTATCCCCCCACATTCTTCGCACCATCTAGCCTTCTCCCTTGCTTGAAACCAACCTCAAGCACTCCCTTGCTTGCGTCTCACTTCGCAGACAACCAATTTGCAACGGTTAACCTTATTGCCTCACCTATGCAGCAGCCCTCCTTGCATGCCTACGCGAGCAGCTTTACTTGCATAAAAAGTAACACATCCAAAATACACAACACTTACACCAAACATGCAAACATCAAACAATGGTCAATCCATTAATTGACGAGTACAAACTTGCATATTTTGGCACATTTATTCAATTATAATCACGCAATCAAATTAATCAATCCGTGCATATCGAGATCGATATTTACCTTAAATGATCTATTTAAATTAAAACGTAATCTCTATCCTCCCAATTCCATCATAGAACATTTACACTATCTTATTTCTCTCCAATTCTTGGGAGTCTTTGACCCTTCGGATTCGATACACTATGACGTATATCGATACACTTCAACAATCATCAATAAAATAAATTAAATTCCAATTGCCATAATTAACTTAAAATAAATTACCATATGATATAAATTAAAAATTAAGGTTTCAATAACTTACCTAAACGAGTTGGAGGGAGTGGATGGAAGTTGGTTGGCTTGTAGTTTTCAAGGCCGTGGAGTGGTGTACTGCCTTGGTGGGGTTATCGCTATGGAGTGGTGGCTATCGTGGTGCTATAGTTGTGGAGTGGTGGTTATCGTGGTGCCTGCGGCTATAGAGTGGTGGCTAGAAATAGTTGTTGGATGTGGAAAGGAGACGACACGATGGTTTGAGTGCCTAAAGTGGCTAGAGATGTCGGTTGGAGTGGCTAGAGGTGGCGGTTATTGGAGTGTAGAGGAATGATTGACAAAGGATGTTGGATCACAACGGAGGAGGTTGTGGCATTTTGGGGGGCTTAGCAAGGATGCCGATTGCGGTCATCAACACTATTAGGAGAAACATTAACTAGGATTTAAGTTAGAGTAAGGAGAAGAAAGGAGGAATAAGCAAGTTCCGTCGATTTAGGGATTTTTTTTTTTTTTACCGATGGACACTATTTCATGGCTATGTTGTCGCTAAATTTAGTCTTTTAGAGACATATTTTAGTGTCTATCGTCATTTGAATTGCCAAAATCTCGCCATTCTTTTCGCCTATCAACTTAGAATTTTCCATCGCTAATTATTCGCTGTATGGGCAACAAAACTTTTATGTTAGTATATAGCGAGGGAATAAAATATTTTATGACGAAATATTTAGTTGCCAATAAGAGGAAATCGGACCCCAACAATAATGACAAAAATTAATATCCGTCGTTAAAAACTATTATAAATTTGTTGGCATTCCGTTGTCGATAAAATCATAAAGAATTTATTACGTTTTTCAACAACGAAACACTTTCGTCATTGAATTTTTATCATTTATTAGTCGGTAATCTGTCGCTATTAACCATGATTGATAATAGTCGTTACGTCCTCGTAAATCCGTAATTGTATATCGACAAATTTATGTCTCGTTGCTAATTTTCATCACTATATATATGTATATATAATCATTAATTTATTCTTCGAATTTTGGGTGAGTCACGTGTTTGCATGTGATCCATAATGCTAGAGAGATTACAGGTACTTTTGGAATAGAATTTGATCATGTTTAGATGACCTGCCCCTTAGTTTAGATGGAAAAAATTGATTTAAAACTCACCCTATATATAAGAATTAAATGGAAACAATTAGAGATATAAGAATATAGATGGGAGATTAACCCTAATATGTACGACCCTATTAGAAGAAAGACTTCAGAATCTTAAATTACTTTTTAATTGTTATTGAATTTCCATCATTTATTCTTTTATTTTTACACTTAGAAACTACGTGTTGGTTTGTTTACGTTTTTTTTTCCCTCTCGAGATGAAATTTAAATTACAAGATTTAGACAATTGAAGGCTTACATTTTTTTTTCAAGTATTTTTGGGTATGTGTGTGCTGGAGGTATTCTTTTGTTAACTTCCTTTCTTTAATATATATAATTTTAGTGCAGCACAGTATGTTAAGGATGAATAGGATACTTTTTTCAAGTTATATAATCAAAATCTAACTAATTTAATTGTATTAGGTGTCAAAAGATACATATCCTTAATAATCATCTGTAGTGATTTTTGTTAATCACGATAGAGCTGTGGTACCGGATATTAACATCTACCTGCCTGCAGTGCCTTTTAATGCTTTCCAAAACACAGAACAAGCAGATATGAACAATTAGGAAAGCCGAACAATCGAGTAGAGGGGAAGAGAGAAATGTAGTTGATTATCTGATAGCTATATCACAGCTCTCTGCTACTTTCAACTCTTACACTACTATTTGTGCTAGCATATATTGTTTTCGTTCCTCTCCTGTGTACTGTACAGATGACATTTCCTATCTCTTACAGTGCGGTGGAGTGCAAGCATTGAAAAGCTGTTACTTTTTTATTTTTTGAGTTACATCTTATGAGGGTATCTATGGCAGGCCCAGATTTGGATAAATAACTTTCGGAAGTACACCATGCGTCATCTTGTTGCGTGCTGAGGTGAGTGTGTCCATATATATATATACACGTGTGTGTGTGTGACAAGAAACCCAATACAAGTCAGATAAACCTTGAATTTGTATTGGTAGCTTCCAACTTTACAAGGAGGAAGAGAGGGGATTCTTTTTGTTTTGTTTTTTCTTTTTAGCCAGTTTAGGTGAGGAGAATCGCCTTTCCTGAACTACAAATAATGAAGCAGTATACACTTGAGTTGATCCCCCGTCCGGTAATCTGTCCTACCGATGTCATTGGAATATTAAGCAAGTAGGCAAGCAAGCCAGCCTAGCTAGATTATGGTGATTTGATAATTGGAATATTTGGACTTGGTTGTCACGGACGGGTAAAGTTAATTGCCGTACGTACGTCTAGGGCATTTTTGTTGGATCTACTAGACCTCTCTGGACATATCTATAGCACCACCAACGCCACCATAATGCTTTGATTGTTTGTTTCCTAGCTACTTTTTTGGCTCATCTTTCTTACAGGACTGATTCCCGAGGAGCAACTTTCATAACATCAACTACAGCCGTTTTGACAGCTGCCAACTCCCATCTTCTATCTTAATGGTGTAAAAGCAGAGCAAGAGAATCTTTACACATATGTCGCCCGATGAGCTAGTGGGGATGAAATAGCATTATGCCATACGAATTTACCAAAGACCAGGGCAAATTCTGCACATCGTTCCAAATATTAAACTCTCTTATTTGTCAAGCAAAAGACATACAAACCAATAGCTTTTTGCGACAAAGATTGAAAGAAAAAACAAAAACAAAAAGAGTCTTGAGCATGAATTTGATTGCAGTGCAACAAACAACAAATATGGTCGTGCTTCATGAATGATATCACGAACAAAATCTGTGAGGCCACTCTTTTCAGTAGGAAATTCACCTGATCTAATCAAAATACCAACTTGAATTTGAATATGATCCCTTTCTAATATACTGAGAGACATTTCCATGTGCAGCCAGCAATTTCAAACTATATACAGGTCCAAAATCAACGAATTTCATCAGCTTGATTGCAAAGACGGTCATCAGAAACAGATTTGCTGAGGGTAAAAGGGTGTAGAAGCTTAAGATTTCTCATATCCATTTTCTCCAACTAACTGATCTTTTGTCACCAGAAATGAGCCTAGGAAGGCTTAGCAAACTATTAACCCTTGTAATACCTTCTAGGGCTGACCACTCCTCATCCTCTGCAGTTGAAATGCACTCTGCCAGGCTCCTCTTGGACCGGCCCTCACACTTCACATAAGGATTTTCCACCGTCAACTCAGAGACAGGTACAATCTCGTCAGAGTTTCGTGTGGTACCCGAATGCATAAAAACAGGACCACGAGGATCCTCGAGTGTTTGTAAATGCCCAGTGTTCTCACCAGTCATTAAATGCTCCCCTGGCTCCTTGGTAATCTTTTTCATATCCTGCTCTTCTACCTCTCCATTTGCTGCACATAGATGTTCAAGAAAGAGGCATACAACAGCACAATCATCATTCTTAGATGTTGGATATTTAAGTCTCCATGCTCGGACAGCACAGTCTACAAGAGCTCTGGCTGCTGTTGCACGGCCAGGGGCTGAAGCAACAATATCAACTGCTTCCTTATTTGAGAGGACATCCCAAACCTGTGTTATGAAGATATCAGTACTAATATCAGTATTGGACAAGTAGGAATGGATTTCATCCATATGATGGTAGGTCAGTCGGTGTCTAATGCACTTAAATCAAACAGCATTCCAATTAACAATAACAATAAAGTTTCATAGTAGTAGGACAGCAAAGTGACAAGGCAATAACTATCAAGATCATGTCAACATAGTAGGCTTCTCAGGCATTAACTTGCCAAATGGCCTACAATAAGAAAATATTCGCTCAAGTAGATTACAATGAAAGAAAGGAATAATACCCCATCTGTGGCAAGAATAACAAATTCATCTCTATCGGTGAGGCAGCGATAATAAACATCTGGAACAGAAATTAAACCAAAGTCCTTCAAGCAGAAGTCCCCAAAAGCTCTAGCCATTGCCAGACCAGGTGAGTCATTATTAGGCAACCATACGCGTGGAACCTCTGGCTCGTCCTGCAATGCAAAGACCCTTCCTTTACATTGATGGATCCTGGCAGCTTCCCCTAAGCCAATTAGACAAGATTGCTAAGTTCTACCACTATATATGCGAAGCAGTTTTCTAATATATGATATTGCAGAAAGACTCTTTATTTTTATTTTCTATTTCCTTAAAACTGAATCGGAGGCAAAATATGAATTCATGTGTGCTTGCGTGTGTGTGTTATACAGTTACAGAGAGAGAGAGAGAGAGACTTGGTAAATCAGGCTTCAAGTCAACTGTCAATTGAACGGCAAGCAAAGAGTCATCTTTGTCTCTGGTTGCCAGAACTGCCCTGGAGTCGCCAACATTTCCAATTACAAGATCCTGACCCTGAAAAGCCACATTTTCACATGATAGTGTTATTAGATCCAGGTTTAAATTATTATACAGAAAAATAGTCATTTTGGGAAATCTAAACAAGATACAAGACAAGTCATGTTTCTCAAGTTGACAAGTATAAATCAAATCAAATAGAACAGAGATACTCTGAAGTGAACAAGAAATCCTCCAGAAAAATCAAATAAAATTAAAGGATAAGTCCATTCCGACTGAAGAGGAATTAATCATTGCACCCAGAGTTGCACTACCTTCTCTCACTTGATCGTGGAACCCATGGATCAATTTTCATGGTGGGTTCCATGTTTATGCAATAGGGGGAGTAGAACTCCAGGTGCACCTAATAATTTCTCTAAATTGAATATCTGCGAGAAAATCCCTCTTGATGCGCTAGTGGCAGAGAGCCATCAAAATGCCTAACAACCACTCTGTCGCACAAAATAATCATGATACTCCTCTCCAGCCAAAAGTACCATAACACTGAATTCCTAAAACGAATTAACAACAAATCTGCTAGAGTTGGTTTTTGTCTCCAATATTTGCCACCACAATCAAAAAAGCCCATGCCATGAACTTCTTGCAAAACAAAATGTGGAAAAGATGGCTCAGTCATGGTATTGTGAAGGCAAACATCAGGAAAACAATGCCTTGTGTACTGTATATTTATTTAAATTTCCATAACATGGTTTAATGATCTAACATAAAGTTTAATGGATAACAAATCACTGCAATATCGACACAGGTAACCGAACTTCAGATATGATTGTCATGAAAAAATGACTTGGCATCTACCTATACATGATATGTTTGGAGTGAATATACAAACATTATTTAATGAATACAGCATGGAAAGTGATGCTATCATAATGTGAGATATGGAAGGTTGACAGAGCTGAACTAATGGCACCTAGCATGGTAACCAGTTTTACTGCTGAAATACTAAGGCAGCATATGAGATTGAACAGTGATCCTGTAAGTACAGCTTAATCTATTGATCAAAAGAGCAAGATCTCTCTTCAAAGTTGACCTTATTGGTAAAACTAAGGACTGTCTAGGCAGCTTTGATGCATGCTAAGCTGATGGGAAACAAAAGGTAGCAGCATTACATGCATTGTTGTAAAAGGGATGGTTCTTTTGGGTGTAGATGCTTTGGGTCTTTTTACACTTATATTCTTAGTGGTTTCATGATTAAATTATGCTTAGAACACTGGGTTTGATTATTCAGGTTGCTTTCATTGTTACTTCACTTTTTTTTCCTTCAAAATTTCAGACTTCCTGTATAATTATGCTGCCAAAAATAAGGATTACCAACACCTAAATGAATCGTGAACTACTGCACACATTACAAATAACAAAGCTGTAAACCTAGACTTCAACTCAACTATAGTGAAGAAACTGTAAATATCTTGCTTGATTAATTCATGCTAGGGTATTTGAATATAGCCATGCATAAGCAAATCGAGCTGCATGTGATACTTGTGTCAAAAGTGAATAACAAACAGTTATTCGATGTATCTGTGATTTCGTTAACTCAATACTTACGATTTTATATCATCAAAACTCAAAAGAGATAATAAAAGGTTTAATTCTTCCTGTGAAAAGCTACATCACTAGGAGATAATCTACATGAAGATAGCACAAGCCATACCTTTCGATTGTCAAGAACTTAACAAAGCAAATATGCGTCTAACTTTTAATTGGTATCAAGTACAACAAAGCTTAAATTGTCCTCAAACTTTACCATGGAGAAACAGGAACTAAGGTAAAAAGTAAACTAATTTAGACCATGCAGTTACTCCTGGTTACTAGAACTTGAGAAAGTGATGGCACTATAAATCGACCAGACAAGACTTTTAATGATAAGGAGAACATGAGTTCTGCTGACTCAAAATGAAAGAAAAAAGCGGAACAAACTGAATTTGGGTCAGAAAATTAGACAACCATAAAAGAAAAGAAAATGGGTAGAGAATGAAGCAAGAACAAATACCTGCTTTATCAAAGTAACAGCAGTCGTCCCACTGCAAAAACAATCGATTGTTGGATGCAACTTCAACTCCTTATCCATTAATTTAAAAGCCTTCAATATAGACTTTTTAAGTGGAAGATACATATCTGGAAGTTTTTCAGTTTCGTCAACCTCCAAAGAATCATAAGATTCATCATCCATACTTAAGGTAGCGGCTTCGTCAGAATTTGTAGCTGCTGCAGGTGGATCATTTGAAGTGTTAGAAAAGCAGCTCGGTTGAGCAGGATTCCAGTGGGTAGATAGTATGAGTGGAAGGGAGTCGCGAACTTTCTTGGCGACCAAATGACCATAAGGACCATGACCATCAAACACCCCACAGAAAACGGTATCACTTGATGAGCTGAAATTCTACAGCAGAGAGAAACATTCGAATTTCCAACCCAGTCAGAGTCAGTCAACATATATCAAACCTACACCAGGCCAGCAATCAAAATAAAATCGCAGTCAAATTTTATGAAACTGAGGGATGATGTAAATGAGGTATCTTATCTTATTACTGTTTGAATTAGAATCAGACATTGCATTATCATTATTTTTTTTTCCTTATGCAAATTACCAAGAAGAGAAATGGGTGGTTTTATCGTGGGAAAAGAAAAAGGAAACGATTAAATTGAGAAAAAGAAAGAAAGAAAGAAAAGAGGGTAATATTAATGAGTAGGAGGTAGCTACCTCCCAAAAGAGCATGGCGTCTTGATTGGAGCCTTTCTTGCCCTGCTGGGTATATAAGCAACCGATTTTGGTGGCACCATTGGTGGAGATCCTGCCAGGAATGTGGAGGAGCACACTTGGATCGGCATTAGCATTAGTAGCTGAGGATGATTTCTTCTTCCGAGGATGAGACGTTGTAGTGATCGATGATGATAAGGATGGGGGGTCGTCATCAATATCTTTTTCTCCCCCATGATGGAATAGCAAGATCCCATCACTACTACTACTACTACTACTACTAGCTAATTAGTTAGTTATGTCTATCAATTAAGAAAACAACATTAATTGACTGTTGATATATACTTGCTACTGATGTTCAATATCAGAAAGGAACAAGAAGAAGGAAGAGTCGTACCCAGCTAGCTAGCTACTGGCGCGGAGTACAAGAAGAAGAAGAAGAAGAAGAAGAAAAAGAAAAGGAGAGATGAGGATAAAATAAATATTAGTAACAACAATAATCCAGTAGGGTTTAGGGTCCATCTATGTGGAAGATGGAAATGGAAGAAGAGATCAGCATACGATTGGATTGAAGTGGGGTAGACAAGGGAGGGAGTATCGATCATATCATCATCGGTCCAAAACCCCACATCTCTTTCCCTCTCTCCAAGGATACATAGAAGACGATTGATTTGATTCGATTTTGACTTTGATTTTGCTTTTGATGAGATTCAAAATGAAAATTAGAGGAGTTGTACGATCAGAGCCAGCGGCCAGGGAGAAACCAAGAAACAAAGAAATTAGGTATACCCTCACCATCATCATCATCATCTATTTACACTCTATACGTACTTACATACATACCATATATGTACGTACGTATGTAACCTCCCTCAGTATACGGCCAGGGAGATCAACTGTTATTGCTATGTAAACTTGGATTGGATTTGGATTTAGAGCTCAACGCATTTGGGCTTTCCAATAATAAAATGCTTCATTTCTTCCTCGTTGACTCTGATGTGACCACAGGCCCAGGGCAGCAAAGCATCACGTGTCCATTGATCACAGGCACAGGTGTAGTCATTGGGGCTCAAACCCAAATTCTTCAACCGCTTGTAAATGGCCAGAGCCATATCCAGTCCACCATTTTCAATCAATCTATTCATGAGAAAGTTAGAGGTCTCGTATGGGGGCTGGAATCCGCACATTTTTGATTTGAAACAAAGCATCAATGGCCTCATCAAACATGCCAGCAGTGACATAGGACTTGACCAAGGCATCATAGGCTTGGAGCAAGAAAGAAGAGTGAGGCTTCATAGTTTCAAGATCAATATCACTATGACGAGGGAGAGTGAGCATTTCAAGCAAATGTGAAAATATCAAAAGAAGCAAAGGGGGTTGTTATTGTGGAGAAGTCAAGGAAAATGGAGTGGGGCATCCGGTGGAGACCCCATTGACGAAGGATTCGAATGATGTAAGCACAATCGTCCGTAAATCTTGAGTTAGAAAGAACACAAACGCCTTTTATTTTTATTTTTTCCCTCTCTAAGCTTAATAAAATGGCAACTATAATGCAGAAAATCAAAGGTAATTTTGTAATTTGAAAACATTTTTTTTTTTTCATTTTCATTTTTTCATGCTGATTTTCTTTCAATCCTTATATATATATATATAGAGAGAGAGAGAGAGAGAGAGAGAGAGAGGAGTACCAAACTCTTGACTGCCGCTTCATCTCTAAATCCAAATCCTTCTCCGCTGCATCATTTGCCCGCTTGACCACCACCACCACCACCACTACTAATACTCACACAGATATCATGTTTGCCCCCACAAACACAAACCAAGCCCCAAAGTAAAGAAAAGTTTCGAAATTGAAGAAGCAAGCAAAGGAATCATGTTTGCTCCGCGAACACAAACCCAACCCCAAAGTGAAGAAACGTTTCGAAATTTGGGTGAAGGCATACATTATGCGACTCCAATCATTCCCTTGACGAGGAAGACAAGCGAAGTGGATCTAGTACGAGGTGTTGTTCAAATGATGCAAGGTCTGTCCAGTTCCCTTTTCTACTGGGACCAAAGTGGGCTGTGTTTTTGTGTTGCCAATGTTGGGATTTATGTCACTCACCTTTCCCACTCAACTCTTCACAACCTTCTCTCTCGCTTCACCTACGCTGCCACCTGCTTGCAACTCGTCCATCTACGTCTCAATCTTCCACACTCTTATTGTGCCCTTCCCACTTTGAGGGCATTTGCGTCTGTTGCTTCTCACTGCCTTCTGGTACCTACTGCATTTCTTTATTTATTTGTTTACTTTTTTTTTTTTTAATTAATCGGATTAATTGAATAATATTCTTGTATCTGTTTTTGACTGTAGAGGTTGAGAGATGTTGCTTTGAAGGAAGAAATGAAGATGTGGAATTCTAATGAACAAGAAGAGTTTGGAAGTGGATTTACTCCTACTTTATTGGGACTATCTAGTTCTTTGTCAAGGTTCCTCTCCTCTCCTGCATTCCAGGATTATTCATTCTTGTAATTGATTGGAAATAGGAAATGGGTTTTTTTTTGTTATTCCAATTATTTCATACTCGCTGTTTGCCACTATGAGTTTGTTTCATTCACTGATGAATTTTATTGATATTAGTCTCTGCTCGGCTTCTGAATATTTATTTCAAATTGTCCATGGAGCCATTCCCCAAGCGTGTTTTGAGCCTAATTCATCTGTTCCACCTGCTGAAATTTCTGTTCATGTCCTTGACTATCTTTACACTAAACTGGATCAAGTGTGTCTCGTGCAAGGTGGTGAGGTTGGGACTATTTTCTAGCAATCAACCAATCTTCTTCATTTTTTTTTTTTTTTTTCATTTTGTCATGGGTTCTTCTGCTTTGCACCATTCTATTTCAAATGCACATTTTCTGTTAATTCCAGGTGGAAGAGTATCTCATGCTACTCAATATGTTTGTGGGGAGTATAATACCCTATATTGAAGGTCTTGATTCTTGGCTTTTCGAAGGAGCACTTGACGATCCTTTTGAAGAGGTAATTTAGGTTCAAACTTTTTGTTATATACCAAACTCTATATTCTAAAATGGTTTCATCTAATTAGTTTCTTGTGGTAAAAAATCACATATTTTATTTGCTCTCTATGGAGTATTAAATGTAAACTTCTTTACTGAAGATCCAATAGAGCTAGCCTTCTTGAACTCTTTGTTGATAATCCTTCTGGGAAATTCCTGGGAGTTCTGCAATTGTTTGGATAAGTTTGTATTTACTTGTAATTACCAATTATACCTCTCTCAATTTAACCTGTAGGAGTATGGGAAGAGTTAAATGATGACTATATAGAGTAACTTGTTCTCTCTGCAGATGTTCTTTTATGCAAACAGAGCAATCTCAGTTGATAAGTCGGAGTTTTGGGAGAAGAGCTATCAGTTAAGACAATTACAGTGCAGGAAGCTAGAACATCCTGCTCTGAATTCTTCCATATCTTCATCAAATAACAAGACAGGAATGGGTGAAAAAGATTCTATTTCTTTTCCCTGCTCAACAAAAGGAAAAGAGCTTAACATTAAGGAATTTCTAGGGTGTCCTTTGTTTATTAAGGAAATTTCTAAGTCAATTGTCTCTGCGGGAAAATCATTGCAGCTGATCCGCCATGTTCCTATGTCATTCTCAATGATGTCTGAAAAAAGGATACGTACTGATATTAATGTTTTTGGAGGTTCTAGTGATGATAGTGGTTTAAGCATTTGCCGACAAACCTTTTCTGGGTTAACCTTGTCGGAGATTTTTTGTGTATCAGTAGCAGGTCTTATAGGCCATGGTGAACACATTTCCAGATACTTTTTGCAAGATGAGCAAAGCAAATCAAAGAGTGCCACTCCTTTGGTGTCTGCCATAGTCAGGAAGGAGGAGGGAGGGGATGGTGAATGCTTGCACAAGTTCTTGATTAATACATTATTGCAGAGAAAGGTGATTGATTTAGAATGTGCACACAATTTTGGGATTGATTTTTCTGATTTGGAGGAAGAACGCATGAAAACAGGTGCTGTGGATGAATTTCCCCTACAGGGAACATTCTGTCCAGAAAATCCAGCTATCACTGCATGTCAAAGTTTGCTTGATAAGAATAGAGATTGCTGGAAAACGTTGAACTTATCTAAAAATTTCTATCTACCCCCTCTAAATGATGAGGTCTTACGACAGGCCATATTTGACGGAGAAAATAATGTCAAAGGAACAGACAATGCCTTTGGTTTTCGATTTGGTGTATCTGATTATCATGATTCACAGAATGATGCAAAACTGTTGGAAGTCTTGTTTCCTTTTCCCACTGTTCTTCCTTCTTTTCAGGTATTTCTAGATTGATTTATCTCTTTAGGAAGAATTCCTGAGGATTGCTTTGAGTTCTACATTTAATTTTGAAACAGGATGATAAATATATGTCAGAGCTTTTGCCTTTCCAAAAAAATAGCACCCTTATTTCAAGAGTGCTTAGGTGGTTTCAAAGTGTTGAACCAAGAACAACTCCACTTCCAGTTGCTATTATACAGGAATGCCTAACTTTCTACATTAAGAAACAGGTAGCTGCTTGAACCTATTCTATGGAACTTTGATTTCTTATTGCGCCAAGTTTGCTGTTGATGTACTCAAAATCTTTTAACAATGTTATGTCATAGGTGGATTATATTGGCGGGCTTATCTTGTCAAAATTAATGAATGAATGGAGATTGATGGATGAACTTGCAGTATTGCGTGCCATATACTTGTTAGGTTCAGGTATCTTCTAGTATGCCGAACCTCCTGATTCTTGTTCATGTTGGCTGCTAGACATATGAGGTTTTCCTGACGTGTTAGTTGATGTGTTGCTATCTCTAGGTGATTTACTGCAGCACTTTTTGACTGTGATTTTTGGTAAGCTGGACAAAGGAGAAACTTGGGATGACGATTTTGAGTTAAACACTATATTGCAGGTGATCCACTTAAATGATCCATGAATTTATAAAGAATCTTTGTAGTTCTACTATGATGATTATTTATGGAGATTTGTTTCTGTATTTCTCTTGATATGGGATTTTGGGCTGCAACACTGGTTAAATAGGACTACCTATTATCAAATATTCATTTTGTCTGTGTATTTAATTCTCTTGCTCTTATATTATGTTAGTAATTTTCCATTATTGGCCACAGGAGTCCATTCGGAACTCTGCTGATGGCATGCTGTTAAGTGCTCCAGATTCTTTGGTTGTCTCTATCACCAAAAATCATGGTTTTGACAGTGATGAGCTACCTAATACACCAAAACTTTCCTCAACTCCTCGTAAAAGTCGTCTGCACAGCTTTGGCATAGATGGCCTTGATTCATTGAAATTCGCATACAAGGTCTGTTATGCAGTTGATTAGACTTGAATTTGTCTTAAAAATCCATGTATTCACTTTCAATGTGTGTGACAGGTCTCTTGGCCACTTGAACTTATTGCTAATCCAGAGGCAACCAAGAAGTACAACCAAGTATGTCTCTTCACTTTGCTTCTATTAAAAGTTTTCATTCAGTTTCCCGTTCCTTTTATTGATTATGTCTGGTCTAGGTGATGGGGTTCCTGTTGAAGGTGAAGCGTGCCAAATTTGCTCTTGATAAAGCTCGGAGGTGGATGTGGAAGGTTCTTTTTTTTACCGTTATTTTTCTTAGATGTTATCTTGGATGTAATTCTGCATTTACTGATAAAAGCAGATAGCTTTAGTCTTCAGATAAGGAAATATGTAGTTTCAAAGGCCACACAATACGATTCATTGTTACTTTGTCTTACAACTGGGTTTTTGTTCTGACCTTTTCTAGGGTAGAGGCAATGCGACAAACAGCCGCAAGCATCACTGGTTAGTGGAGCAGAAACTCCTTCATTTTGTGGATGCCTTTCACCAATATGTGATGGACAGGGTGAGAATCTTCTCATTGCCTGGGTGAATTCACAATCAATAAACATGGAAAAGCATTTGAGAACTTAGAACAGTCTGGGGTGTTGAGATATTAACTGCTATACATGGTTGCACTGTGAAATCTTGTTATTTCTCAAATTTTCTCGCACAGACCATTGTTTGCTGCAATCTAAGTCTTGTGCCTCAAAACAAGACATTGTAGTATCAGAACTTGATAACAGAAGCTTAAAATTTGTGAAGGATAGGAATATGTTCAGAGTCCCTTCCTAGGACATAGTTGGGTGATGCCCTGTATTTTCTATTTGGAATTCTACATGCTGGTGGTTTTGTCATGTACTCTAACCATGACTTTGTTTATGGGCATGCCTATCTATTTTGTGTTTTAGATAAAAAATTGCATTGCTGCCGCAACGATTTTGTCTTCATATTTGGGCATGACTATACCTACAGACATATCGATCTATATACTGTTCTTTACTTCATTTTTATATGTTGGCTTATACTGCAGTCATAGTAACTTCATACTGTATGATTCATTTGACTTACTCAAATATAGTTTTTGCATTAGTCATGTCAGATTGGTTCTGTAAGTTTTCTTCTACCTTTTTTTCTTGACAACTCCTGGGGTAGGAAGGTGGCAGGAGACCATGTGGGAGAGGAAAACGAAGCATTATTTACTCAGTGGCATTTTGTAACATTTAAAGAAGATGTTCAGATGGTTAAAACTCATCACATGGTTTGCGTTCTCCTTTAGCATCTGAGATACAGAGTGGTGTTCGCTGTACAATATCCAGATCTTTATTTGATATTGAAATGGCAATACTCAAGTATCAGAGGAAATTACTTCATTACAATCATAATGCATTTCAGTGAGGGGCTTATTGTCATGCTCGTTTAGAGAGAGCTGTTGATTGATTATGTTTTAACCTTTTCTTCATTGAAGTTTAGAACAGGGTCTCTGACTAGTATTTAGTTTGCAGGTGTATCACAGTGCATGGCGTGAACTCTGTGAAGGTATGGCAGCAGCTGGGTCTCTGGATGAAGTCATTGAAGTACATGAGGGCTATTTATTATCAATTCAACGACAGTGCTTTGTGGTTCCAGATAAGCTGGTGTTTAATTTATTTCTCTTCCTTTTGGAGTTTGCAATTTATTCGCACGGTTGAATCTTGTTTTAATTCTGTTATCATTGCGAAGAAGGCTAGTGTTGTTGAGGAATTATTCATTTATAATTTTTTTTGCACTTAGAATATGGAAATAAAATTACTCGAAATGTTTTATTGGAAGAACAGCTTTTTGACTGCTCTACTTGTTCTCTGTATTCCATCTAATTGCAAAATATGCATAGTCAACAACACGTCTCTGCCTCTTCAGCTTTCAGTTCCCAAAATTTTAACACAGGAAGATAAAAATAGTTCAAAGGTCATGCATTTCCATATCTTTTAACTTTGTTTAGATGAAAAAACGTATATAAAAGAAGAAAAGCCTTACTGTTTCCTATTGCACTCAGTGGGCGTTGATTGCAAGCCGAATCAACAACATCCTTGGACTAGCTCTGGATTTCTACTCCATACAGCAGACATTAAGCAGCAGTGGAGCAGCTTTAGCAATGAAGTCCAGATGTGAAATGGAAGTGGAACGGATTGAAAAACAATTTGATGAGTGCATTGCTTTTCTCCTCCGAGTATTTTTCTTATTCTCTCCTCTTTTTTTTGAAATATCTTTATCTTGTTGAGTCCAAAGTGACACAATTTATGGATTAAAAATAACATAATTTATTATACCACCAACTATTACAAAGTAGTTGTTTAAATAAACCATCTCACAACACACTATATTTATGGCATGCTCTCATTGCAAGCACTCACTCACCACACCTATATTTGATAACCCGTAGGCACCAATCTCTTAACTCTCATTTGTGTTTATCACACACTACACTCACTCAATTGATTGTTGGATGCTTAGAATGAGAGTACTACTTGTAGAAGTATTTTGACATTAAAAACAAAGAAAGAAATGGTGCACATGCATGTAACAAGAGATTGTCGAATGCATGTATGATTATATAATAACCAGTGAAGACATTATACAAAGAACTGAAATTAGCAAACGGTGCAGCTCTCCTCTTGATCAGAACATGCATCTCCTTGGATGTGGTAATGGTGTGAAATCATTAAATGACATAGATGCTTACAATTGCTTGTCAGCATTTCTGACTACTATCCTAGAGATCCTTGTGCTGTTTTTATTTATTTATTTTGCATCTCACTTATTGTTGGTACAAATATGACACGTCCGTGCATATATGCCATAGAAGTATGTATTTTTCATTTATCTAGTTCCATACTTGAGGTTATGAAAGGATCATACAAAACTGCTTTCTACAAAAGTTTATTTGATTTTTCTAGAAGATGACTGAAAATAAGTGCTGTTTTCTGACCATGCAGGTCTTATCTTTGAAACTCAATGTGGGGAACTTCCCTCATTTGGCTGATTTGGTTACCAGAATTAACTACAACTATTTCTACATGTCTGATGGTGGAAACTTAATGGCTGGTTCTGGCTCTGATACAATGAATTCAAGACTTGGGAAGACCTTTGGAGTTTAGGTTGGGATTGGTGCCGATGGCATATGCTTCTACCATAGGATTTGATGTGAGAATGTTTGCATTTGTGTGCAGTGTGTGAAAATACAAGATAAGAGAAGTCGCCTTGATGTCCAGGGGGATATTTAATATAAAAGCCTGAATCTCTGTACTAAATCCCGGAGTGCAATATATATTATGGACATGGGTGAATTACTCTTTCCTCCCCAGATGATATAAGTCCAATTGCGGAAGAGAACAAGACTGGGAGAAAGAGAGAAGAAGGGAGAGTGAGAGGGTACAGAAACAGAAGAAGATTCGGGAGAAGGAGAGAGGAATTTGTTATGAATTCATTTGTATATTCCCTCATTCATTTTGTGTTCTTATACTGTAACTGTAACAGGCAAAAACAATTTGGTGTTTGTTATGCAAGCTAAGGCTTATATGGTATATTTATTCTAACAGGCCCAAGACCCAACAGACTAATTCAATTTATAAAATACATATCCATGTGCTTAAGTCCAACCAAACTGGCCCAGCCTTCTGCCCTTCTTCCTTTAAGAATCCCTAATTCGGAATCCCCAATTCGATTAGGGATATTTTGTTCTCTGCTCGTTTATTCCTCTACTCTCCTCCTTTCTCTGCCCTCCCCTTTTTTTGCCAGTATCAATACCCTTCTCTGGAAATCGCCTTTGTCCTCAAGGGAGAAGGATGAGAAACGTTTGCTAAAGTAGTCTGCAAATTCTCGAATGGCATCTCTTGGGGAAAGATCATGCCAATGGATTAGCGATTGGACAACTGCTCGATTCTTTTTCTTGTTCTGTCTAGCACTGCTGAGCTTGGGTGCAAATCAGGAAGTTTTTTGATCGCCAGAAAAGATTCAATTGATTTCTTTACAGAATTATGAGGCTGTATGCTCTTTGCAGCTTCCTCTATTTGCAAAGAGTCCATCGAAGTCGCACAAAATGGTGCTTTATCCGAAATTGAATTCTACCTTTATTCTTCTTATGGGCTTACGATGTTTTCGAAATTTTTTCCTTATTGATATGTAATAATAATTCATTGGGTATTTGCTACTCTCACTATTATGGGGCAAATTGCATCCGGAGTGGCAACTAATTTACTAAGCCTAAAGCAAATAAGATTGCCTTCTTCCCCCACCCCACGCCACCCCACCCACCCTCCCCCCCTCTTCCTTCCTTCTGTTCAATTCAGCTACTGGCTTCCTTTTTTTAGTCGTCTCTCGAGATACTAAAGAACTTAGCTTTGTAAATTACTGCCAAACTAGTAGGGTTTAACTGCAACAAGCATACAGATTTGCAGCTCCCGACCATAATCACCAACCAGCCAGCACTTATAATAATAATAAATAAATAAATAAAATAAAATAAAATAAAAATTATAAGCATAGAAATTTGTCCAGTAAAATTATCAACTACAAGGGTACAAAAATCAGGTGCAAACTGAAAAAAGGCCATCGGTGTTGTATTAAATTTATCCTTTGAAACTAGCCAAAATGGATAAAGAGGATTCTGGAAGGAAGAAGAATCACGCAATCATAAAATACGTCACTAATTTAAATAATTCTGGTTGCCGGAAACTTTCCTAGATCCCAATACAACCCAAAAATTAAAAAGTGATATGTTGTTACATGTTTGCACAAAACGGTAGGAACAAAGGGGATAAAATCATTTACAGGTCCTCAGCACGGAATTTATGAAAACCAGAAGAAGGCGTATGTCTGCATGGGCTTCTGAGGCAGACGTGCTGGGTAGACTCCTTTGACTGATCACTCTCTGATAGACCTGACCAAATATTGGGCTTTAATTGCACTCAACCATTGTATCCACACAGTTCATGGCAGCAGCCACATGTCATTCATTCCAACTTTCTAGAGCTTTCCATACTCATATCACATGCCAGTTGTTGTAGAAGGGCCAGCAGAACTCTTGGCTCAGAGGCAGCGGTAACAGGGGCAGTATCGTCTGTAGATCAACCTGAAAAAACGAGCAAATATAAATCACTGTTCATACTACACTATTTTGAATAGCATACTGGTCATGCTAAGTACTTGATATATTTGAATTTTTGCTACAGTACAACGGATCACTGTCTGATAGACCTCACCAAATATTAGTCTTAATTGCACTCAACCATTGTATCCACACAGTTCATGGCAGCAGCCACATGTCATTCATTCCAACTTTCTAGAGCTTTCCATACTATATATTGCATGCCAGTTGTTATAGAAGGGCCAGCAGAACTCTTGGCTCAGAGGTAACGGTAACAGGGATAGTATCGTCTGTGGATCAACCAGAAAAAACGAGCAAATTTAAATCACTGGTCATGCTACAGTAATTGATATATTTTATTGTTCAAGCTACAGTATAACGGTGCATTCTTTGGAGCCTTTCGTTAAACCAAGAAAAATCCGCTTCAAATGTCAAAAAGGTGAGTCCATGAGAAATAGTTTCGTTTTCATTAACTGATCTGATTCACTCTTTAACTGTTCTGTTTAAACCTTGTTAATGGAAGGTTCTCCTAAACGATATAGATTTGCTTAACCCACCAGCAGAGCTTGAGAAGAGGACGCACAAGCTCAAGCGACTTGTTCAGTTCCCAAACTCATTTTTCATGGATGCGAAGTGCCAGGGTTGCTTCAACATAACCACTATTTTTAGTCACTTGCAAGCTGTGGTGGTGTGTGTGAACTTCCAGACTGTGTTGTGCTAACCAACAGGGGTTGTGCCAAGCTTAATGTGTGGGACGGCGAGGACTTTGGCTTCATTATGTTTGTAGATAAAACGGAGGGGAAGAGTGCATCAGCGTTTGGAGATTACTAACTTATTAAAAAATTTCAGGTACTTTGTTTAGATGAGTGCACAGCCAATGTTGACACTCAAACAGCTTCAGTGCTGCAAAAACTTTAGATACAGTTTCATTTCTAGTTCAAATTATATGAAGAGCTTTTTAACATATTATTCTCTGCTTTTGTAGGTTGAGCAAGGCAAACCAGGAGCTCTTTTACATGATGAGTCCACCATATTTTCAAGTTTCGCTAAAGCTTCGACAATGTGATCACCTAAGAGTTGCTATTTGCATATCCAACAGGGGTGCTCTTTCAGGAAGAAGAGCGATTGAAGATTATCATAATTTATTGTCTCTTTAAATCTTCTTTCCCTGATTGGTAAATTGCTCAAGAGTTCTTTCCTAGGCAGGATGATGATGAATGGAACGGCGGTGCGTATTTTGATTTTGATGTTTAACTTCTTAGGTTATCTGTGAGAATATATATGAAATTTTGCATTTGATTCAGTGAGAAATGTTTTGAATATCAATATAAGTTCATTGTTACGTGAGAATATGTATGAAATTGTGGGATATTAACTTATTAATTGGTTTTGAAGATTACAAGCAATTCGCGCACTTAATCATACCGTTGGGATCCGAGAATCTTCTTCTTATCTGTGAGTAATTGGTCTTGTTTGATATGTGTGCATAATCTTACTAGGCTATGCATCTGAGGGAGCCAGGATCCTCACCCCAAAAGTGGGCTCGCACACAGGTAGCCGCTGGGACCAGGGTGGCTTTCTATCATGATGAAATCAAACTTTCTCTGCCTGCAATCTGGACACCGTCACACCACCTCTTGTTCACTTTCTTCCATGTTGATCTTCAAACAAAATTGGAAGCTCCAAAACCAGTACATTCTATATCTGTTTTCTTTCCACACACAAACACACATATATGGTTTATATTCAACTAATCGACATTCTGCTTTATACGGGTGGGTGACAATCAGTTAACATGAAATGTGACATATTTCAAAGAAAATTATCTTAGCAGTTAGCACTTCCGTTGTGCTGAGCATTCTGGCTACATCTTCCATTCACTTTTCAGCATTTGTGGGATGAAATCTGAACGAAAAATGTATGATAAAACTGGCTTACTGAAGATTTACTGTAAATGGAAATATTGAGCAATCAGATATTTGCATCTTAATATCAGTAACTTGGAAAATTAGCGCTCCTTTTAGTATAGGAATGTACTTTGTTTTGAAACAAAATCCCAAAGTCCAACCTTCTGCTCTGTTATTACTGCTGGAGAAAAGACAATAAAAACAGGTGGAGAAAAGTGACACCGTATGCATATGACTTGAAACCCAACCCAACCTAACTAAATTCTGCTGGTGTAAATACTACTTCCATATGCATGCAGCTTGAAATTTATTGAAATAGTTTGGTTACTATGTAGGCAAAACTATTTCTCATGCCATTGAAAAATATTGCTTTATCTTCTGCAGGCAAAACATTTATTGAAAAGGTGTTTCTCGTCCTAACAAACAAAAAAGTGCTGTTATAGTTAGTGCTATGGTCTTATTATTCTTCTCTATTCAATAGTAACTGAGTGGAAAAGCACATTCTGGTGCATTTACAACACTCCGATTGTATAGATCTTTTAACAATTTCTCAAAATAAGAACTTGTTTTCCATGATCATCACTTAAATTCATTCTAGTTGAAACTAAGTCTTTTAACATACGATTTATAATTAAAGGAATGTGCTACATTCTTGCAGGACATCACTGGATGGGAAGCGTTATTTTCTATTGTGGGCTGTATACTGAATGTTACTATAATTCCTATTTTGCATTAATTTTCCATTAATGTAGAGTTTGAATTTGTTAAAGTCCATTGCTTGTTATGGTAGACTTCAAAATATATTTTGTTGTGAATTGACTTTATACCATTTCTCTTTCTAGGTGGTGATTGGATATGCAGTGCTTCCAGTGTTAAAGTCCATTGCTTGTTATTTTTCTCTTCTTTACTTTTTTTTTTTTATTGAAATATTTCAGTTTAATTTAACTTTTTTATATCGTATTTTTATTTTAAGATTTAAGAAATTTATTTATTTATTTCATTTTATTTTATTTTTTGTATTAGTAGGAGTGTGATTTAAGGATCTAGTGTTTAGGATTTTAGAGCTTTAAGGTTTAGGATATAGGTTTAGGTTTTGAGATTTTAAGGTTTAAGCTTTAGAGTTTAGGATTTTAGGCTTTAGGTTTTAGGATTTAGGATTTAGGATTTATTTAGGGGTTTAGGGTTTATTTTAGGCTATTTGAAAAAACAAATAAGAGTTTCTCGGATCGGAGAAACAGATTTTGGATCTCCCGATAAGATTTTTGAGGTATAAATTCCTATCATGATCTTTCGTACTTTCTAACTAGAAATTTATTTATTTTTTAATGTATCTAAGGCTTGTTAAATTTTTTGAATATAGAAGATGAAATTAGCGAAACAAAGCTTGATGATTTGTGCATAAGTTGAGTGGAGGAAAAAATTCGATGCATGTTCTCCTTAAACATCAACAAAATCCAAAAGACTTGAAGATGCGTCAAAGAATAAATTCGCGTCATTGGTTTTTTTCTCATCTCAACTTTTTTTTTTTGTTGAAAATTGTTATATTTAAATTTACTTTTGTATCTCTTGCTTTTATTTTAAGCATTAGGAAAGTAATTTAATTTTTGTTTTTTTGTATTAATAGGGGTTATTTAGGGGTTTAGTGTTTAGGATTTTAGAGTTTTAGGGTTTAGGTTTTTGGATTATTGGATTTAGGATTTAGTTAGGAATTATGGATTTTATGGTTTTGGATTTAGTTTGAGATTTAGGGTTTTAGGGCTTACAATTTATTTAGGGGTTTAGAGTTTATTTTAGGTTGTTCAAAACAACAAATAAGAGCTTCTCGGACCAAACAAGCATATTTTGGATCTCTTGCCAAGATTTTTGAGGTATAAATTTCTTCCATGATCTTTTATACTTTCTAACTATAAATTTATTTATTTTTTAATGCCTGTAAGGCTTGTTAAATTTTTTGAATATAGAAGATGAAATCATAAAAACAAAGCTTGATGACTTGTGTATAAAGTGAGTGGAGGGGAAAATACTGATGCATATTCACCTAAAACGTCAACAAAATCTCAAACTTGAAGATGCATCTAATAATAACTTGGCATCATTGATATTTTTCTCATCTCTACTTCCCCCCCCCCCCTATAAAAGTGTTATGCTTAATTTAACTTTTATATCTCTTGCTTTTATTTCAAGTTTTAGGAATGTAGAAGATGAAATCAGCGAAACAAAGCTTGAGGACTCGAGCACAAGCTGAATGGAGGAGATATATTAAAGCTTGTTTTCCTAAAACGTCAACAAAATTCAAAAGACTAGAAGTCGCATCTAAAAAAAAGTTGGCGTAATCGGTATTTTTCTCATCTTTACTTTTTTTTTTATTGAAAATTATTGTTTTTAATTTAAAATTATATCTCTTGTATTATTTTTTTTAAGCTTTACGAATCTAATTTAATTTTAGTTTTTTCGTATTGATAGGTCTCGATTTAGGGGTTTAGTGTTTAGGATATTAGAGTATCGTGGTTTAGGATGTAGGGTTTTGGTTTTAGAATTTTAGTGTTTAAGATATTATAGTTTAAGGTTTAGAGTTTATGAATTTAGGCTTTTGGTTTTAGTGTTTTAGGATTTGAGTTTTAGTTAGGGATTTAGGATTTAGTATTTAGTTAAAGATTTAGGGTTTACAATATATTTAGGGCTTTAGAGTTAATTTTAGGTTGTTTGAAGTAACAAAGATGAGTTTATCTGATTGGACAAGCAGATTTTGGATCTCATACTAAGATTTTTGAGGTATAATTTTCTTCTTTTATCTTTTTCTACTTTCTAATAAGAAGTTTATTTATTTTTTTAATGCATCTAATACTTGTTAAATTTTTTGAATATAGAAGATGAAATCAGTGAAACAAAGCTTCAAGACTTGAGCATAAGCCGAATGGAGGGGAATATGTTAATGCCTCGTTTTCCTAAAACGTCAACAAAATTCAAAAGACAAGAAGATGTGTCTAAAAATTAGTTGGCGTCACTCGGTATTTTTCTCATCTTCACTTTTTTTTTTAATTTAAAATTATTTTTTTAATTTAAAATTATATCTCTTATATTTTTTTTAAGCTTTACGAATCTAATTTAATTTTAGTTTTTTTCGTATTGGTAGGTCTCATTTAGGGGTTTAAAGTTTAGGATTTTAGAGTATTAGGGTATAGGATGTAGGGTTTTTATTTTAGAATTTTAGGATTTAGGATTTATTTATAGTTTAAGGTTTAGAGTTTATGAGTTTAGGCTTTAGGTTTTAGTGTTTTAGGATTTGAGTTTTAGTTAGGGATTTAGGATTTTAGAGGTTTAGGATTTAGTTAGAGATTTAGGGTTTACAATATATTTAGGGTTTTAAGGTTAATTTTAGGTTGTTTGAAGTAACAAAGATGAGCTTCTCGGATTGGACAAGCAGATTTTGGATCTCTTATTAAGATTTTTGAGGTATAACTTTCTCCCTTGATCTTTTCTACTTTCTAATAAGAAGTTTATTTATTTTTTTAATGCATGTAATGGTTGTTGAATTTTTTGAATATAGAAGATGAAATCAGCAAAACAAAGCTTGAGGACCTAAGCACAAGCCGAATGGAGGGAATATATTAAAGCTTGTTTTCCTAAAACGTCAGCAAAATTCAAAAGACTAGAAGATGCATCTAAAAAAAAATTGGAGTCACCGGTATTTTTCTCATCTTCATTTTTTTTTATTGAAAATTATTGTTTTTATTTTAAAATTATATCTCTTGTATTTTTTTTTAAGCTTTATGAATTTAATTTAATTTTAGTTTTTAGTATTGGTATGTTTGATTTAGGGGTTTAGTGTTTAGGACTTTAGGGTATTAGGATTTAGGATCTAGGGTTTTGGTTTTAGATTTTAGGATTTAGGATTTTTTTATAGTTTAAGGTTTAGAGTTTATGATTTTAGGCTTTAGGTTTTAGTGTTTTAGGATTTGGGTTTTAGTTAGGGATTTAGGATTTAGGATTTTAGGAGTTTAAGATTTAGTTAGAGATTTAGGGTTTGCAATATATGTAGGGCTTTAGGGTTAATATTAGGTTGTTTGAAATAACAAATATGAGCTTCTAGGATTGGATAAGCAGATTTTGGATCTCTTGGGCAAGATTTTTGAGGTATAAATTTCTCCCTTGATCTTTTCTAATTTGTAATAAGAAGTTTATTTATTTTTTTAATGCATCTAATGCTTATTAAGTTTTCTGAATATAGAATAATGAAATTAGCAAAACAAAACTTGAGGACTTGAGCACAAGCTGAATGGAGGGGAATATATTGATGCTTGTTTTCCTAAAAGGTCAAAAAAATTCAAAAGACTAGAAGATGCATCTAAAAATAAGTTTGCATCACTCGGTATTTTTGTCATCTTCACTTTTTTCTTATTGAAAATTATTGTTTTTCATTTAAAGTTATATCTCTTGTATTGTTTTTAAGGTTTACAAATCTAATTTAATTTTAATTTTTCGTATCGGTAGCTCGATTTAGGGGTTTAGTGTTTAGGATTTTAGAGTATTAGGATTTAGGATGTAGGGTTTTGGTTTTAGAGTTTTAGGGTGTAGGATTTATTTATAGTTTAAGGTTTAGAGTTTATGAGTTTAGGTTTTAGGTTTTAGTGTTTGGGTTTTAGTTAGAGATTTAGGATTTAGGATTTTAGGGGCTTTAGGATTTAGTTAGAGATTTAGAGTTTACAATATATTTAGCGCTTTAGGGTTAATTTTAGGTTGATTGAAGTAATAAAGATGAACGTTTTGGATTTGACAAGCAGATT